GGGCCCACAGAATTTGTTTGAGGAAGATGAGAAGATAGTCACCCCAACAGAACCTCTCTGCACAGCAGTCTGGCTGACATTGAGCCAAGTGATGCTAAGAGAGCAGCACTGGTTGCTTAAACATTGAAATACATACTGGTTGGAAAGTAGATGGTACCTGGACCCTGCCTCCTGTCTCCACTACACCAGCCTTATCTCCTACCATTCTCCAGAGGAACCTCTGTATCTTCTCACAATTCAGTAACTAAAGATGAATATGGCATGTGACAATATGGATGGACCTGGACAGCATTATGCTAAACAAGATAAGACAGAGAAAGACAAATACCTTATGTTTTCACTTATATGTGGAATCTAAAAAAAAACCCTGACCTCACAGAAACTGAGGACAGATTGGTGGTTGCCAGAGGTGGGGAACACGGAGTAGGGGAAATGGATGGAAGTGGTCAAAAGGCAGAGACTTCCAGTTAAAGACTGATAAGGTCTGATGATGAAATATGCAGTGAGTAGAGTCGACAATACTGTATTGTATATTTCAAAGTTGCAAAGAGGGTAGACCTTAAAGTTTTCGTCACAAGAAAAAAATGGGAACTATGTGAGGTGCTAGATGTTAACTAAACTTGTTACAGAAATCATCTCATTATATATGCATACATCAAATCATTATGTTGTATGCTGGAAACTTGTACAATATTATATGTCAGGGTACCTCAAGAAAACTGGGGGAGGAGGGAAGGATAGCGCTGGAGAGACAGAAAGTTGTATGGGCCTTCCAACAGTGTTAGGAGACAAATTTTGGCCTTGCGATCAGAGTTGTGACATGGTTCGTCACATTAGGACAAAAATTTCACGTTGTGATATTAAGTTCTATTTGTTTTCTTTAAATAATCCCCATCCCCCATATATTAACATTGCTTGGGTTGCCTTATACTCTTAAAACAGAACCAGGAAATTTGATATTATAGCACTTTGTTTCATCTGTTCCTGCTCCTCTCCATTCTGTCAAAACATAGTTGATAAAGAAACTGAAGGTAAGCAAATGCCCACAGACCCATAGCTCGTCAGTGGTTGAGCTGAGAAAATGAAGGAGATCTCCATCTCTTGGTCTACAGCAGAGGTTGGCAAACTGCAAATTTGGCCCATGGCCTGTTTTTGAATGACTCATAAACTAAGAATGATCTTTACATTTTTACATGGTGGGTGAAGAAAATCAAAAGGTGAATATTTCTTGATATGTGAAAATAAGATGAAATTCAAATTTCAGTATGTATAAACTTTTACTGGAGTACAAGCTCACTCATTCATGTATGTATTCTCCATGGCTGTTTTCTTTTTTGTTTGTTGTTGTTTTAGATTTTATTTAATTATTGGAGAGAGAGACAGAGATAGCGAAAGAAAGAGAGCGAGCAGGAGCAGGGAAGAAAGGGATAAGCAGGCTCCCCACCGAGTAGGGAGCCTGAACTAGGGCTCCATCCCAGGACCCTGGAATCATGACCCAAGCCAAAGGCCAATGCCCAACCAACTGAGCCACCCATGCGCTCCTCTATGGCTGTTTTTATCACCAGAGTTGAGTAGTTACAATATAGACTAATGGGCCCCAAGGTCTAAAATATTTCTTTTTGGTTCTATTAAAAAACAAAAAACCCCCCAAAACTAAACTAAATTAATGCACAGCTAAATTAGAGAACTTAATAGCAGCCCCAGCCGAATGCCAGTGACCATTCTGATTTCTGGGTGTCAAATTCCCACTAATTCTTAAATGTTTAAGCTATCACCCCTGCATACTAATGAGAAGCAGCATATCTATAGAAAATGGCTGAGGAAAGTACCTTCCTGATAATGATGCTGCAAATCAGGTCCAGAACTGAAAACAGAGCAGTCCTGGCTAACATTAAAAACTAATCAAAATATCACACAGCAGTCCATGCCTCTGGGACCTTACTATTCAAACCATAGCCACTCCCCTCCCCACCCCTGTGCGTGTTGTGATCCAAACTTTTATTAAATCATTAGGACCCATTCAAATGGATATCTTACTTATAATATCAATATTTAAAACACAGGAGTTAAATTGTACTGTCCGAAGACAGCAAAGGACTTGGAGATGAGGATTCTCATGGCTCAAGGTGTAAAAACAACTGATGTAGAAAATAATCTAAAGAAACTATCCCAAGTCCCCTGGGTGGCTTAGTCAGTTAAGTGTCTGCCTTTGGCTCAGGTCCTGATCCTGGGATTGAGCCTCTGGGTCAGATAGGAGCCCCAGGATTGGGATCGAGGTGTCAGACTCCCTGCTCAGTGGGGGGTCTGCTTGTCCCTCTCCCTGCTTGTTCTTTCTCTCTCTCTCTCAAATAAATATAATCTTTAAAAAAATAAACTATCCCAATTTTTAAAAATTATAATTAATGGAAAACTAAGAAACATAAATATTTATATATTTTATTACATATTCACATAATCATTTTTATATATAAATATAATTTACATAGCATATATAATAAATAAGTATTATAAATATATAAATGTATAAACCAGTAAGTGCTGATTCAGAAAACAGACCTTTTTAGTGATATGTATCAAAAGCCTAAATATATTTATAGACAGTAATCCCAAGTTTATCTTAAAGAAATAGTCCTAAATATTGGGGGTATGGGGAAGGGGTACAGGAAAAATTATATGCTTGGTAGTGCTATTTATTTCCAAATTATGGACTATTCCAAAATTGAAAACAAAATAAGCATCAAATAATAGAGAAATGATTTAAAAAATTTTTGAGATACAATTATACATCCACTTAGGTATGTCCTATGGTGAGTGCTGTGAAGTGCGTAAACCTGGTGATTCACAGACCTGTACCCCTGGGGCTAAGAATACATTATATATTAATAAAAAAATAAAAACATTAATTTAAAAAAAAACACATCTAGAGTGGTTCCTGAGTGGCTCAGTCAATTAAGTGTCTGCCTTCGGCTTGGGTAATGATCTCAGGGTCTTGGGATGGAGCCCCACATCGGGCTCCCTACTCAGCAGGGAGCTTGCTTCTCCCTCTGCCTCTTCCTCCTTGCTTGTGGTCTCTCTCTCAATCTCCCTCATAAATAAATAAATCTTAAAAAAAAAAACAAACAAACATCTAGAAAGAATACATAAAAATATGGATAAGCAATATGGATATCATATTGCTCATCTTATCTATAATATCTTATCTATGGATATAAGCAGTATCCATATTGCTTATCTTATCTATCTTAAGATATTGCTTATCTTATCTTATCTATGGATAAGAAAAAAAGAAAAAAGAGGGAAACATATAAAATCTATGTTTGTATGTTAAAACAATCCCTCATTTAAAATAAGTCACATATGGGGAAAAATACGAAGGAAATTTATCAGATTAACAGTTGTCACTGGCTGCTGAAAGTTACTTCTTTTCTCTCAATTTTACTACATATTTCAAATTTTATAAAAGGATTGTTATGATTTTTATAATTGAAATAAATAAAAATAAGAGATAATTTCACTCACAGGGGAGAATGAAAACCAAAAACACATAGTTTAGCCAAAGTGTTTAAAAAAAAAAAAACACAATAAACACAATTTTTTAAAAACACAGAAGAAAAAGAAAGTAGTCTTTCAAAATCCATTTCAGGGGCGCCTGGCTGGCTCAGTGAGAGAAGCATGTGACTCTTGGTCTCAGGGTCATGAGTCTGAGCCTCACATTGGTTATAGAGGTTATGTAAATAAATAAAAACTTAAAAAAAAAAAGTCAAAAGCAAGAAAAGGAAAACTCCCCTTCAACACTTTCAGACCCCAAGTCGCCTGTTGCAGCAAACACAACTTAAAGTAATCTGACCAACAGATGTCACTGTTACACTTCTTTCACTGACCACATCTTAAAATGCACAGCCTAACTTTGGAGGTAGGGGGACAAAAACAAATGTTACAAGTTTCCATGTCATCTCACAAAGGGCTTTAGATTTGGCATCTTTCAGCTTCATTCCAAACCTCCTTTTACAAGGGATGTCGAATGCTTTTCTAAAAGGACATCCCGTGATGATGCCATGACGGTTACGAAAAGTGCAAGGTTCATTTGGTCTTGGTTGCTTGAGAAAATCTCCACTCACATAAACATTACAGATCTAACCATGTTCATCAAAGACATACCTCTGAGCCTGAAAGTGATGAATTGGAAAGTATCGGAAGGAATCAAGGACACAAGATTGCCAATGAGCATTAAAGTCAATGGCAAAGAAGAAAAAGCAGGGGGGTGGGTGGGGGGAAAGAAAAGAAAAAAGAGGAAGGAAGGAAGAAAGAAAAGGAGGAAAAAAGAAGGAAAGAGAGACAGAAAAAGCCTTCTTGGATTCCTAATGCTTACCCTCATCTCTGAAAAGAAACGGGGAGATGGAGAGGGGTGGCGACAATGACGACAGTCAATCTATCAGGCCATCTACAATGTGGACGTATACAACCCAGCCCATCATTTTGTATAGTGGAGTTGATGGTTCTGTGTCAATGAATACTTGGATGAACGAGGAGGGAGAAGGTTGTTTTCTAAATGGGTCATCTTGTGTTTTCAGATTTCCTGCCAACCTGCTCACCTGTTATTTGAGCAGCTGGACAGAATGAAAGGTTTGGGGACATGTGAGGGAGACAGGCTATTTAGATGACTCTGGAGAATGCTCTCAAACGTATGTTTTCAAATTTTCAGAAAAGTGATATTAAGAGGCGACAAGCAGCAAACAGTCACTCCCACCCCAAGGTCTAGGCAGTAAAGCTGACGTGGGGAGAGCACCCTGAAAACAGTCAGGCAAACCATAAACAGAGTCACGTCCCAGCACACACATTTCAGACCACTGAGGTGTCTCCATACTCTGCAGCCAACTGATTTTTATATAATGACCCCCACACAAAATGCAGCTTTAACAGTTTTACGAACGCAATTTGCATAAAACGCATTTCTGTTGACTGCAAGGAATTAGAGCTCAAGCACAAAGATTTCTACTTACATGGAGATCCAAGTACAGTTCACTTTTGTTTGGCTTCTCTCTCTCCTCGTGGAGCAGAAACGGACAGGCTGGTCCTGCTCGATAGCCCAGGAACCAGGCACCTCCATCCCTGGGGGGAAGGTCTTTAGTTGCTGTCTGCTCACTGACGCAGTCCCGGGGGATGCCCTCGGAGGAGATGGCTAGACAGAAGAGAAGACCATCGGTGACACAGCAGCTAGAAAAACATCAAGCCAGCCATATCTGGGGACTCCTACGTGGGCCATTTCATACTACCGCTTATCTTCCTTTCTAGATTGTATTTTTAGAGTTTGCTCTCTTCCAAAAGTGCTTGTCTAGATTATTCTTTCTGGATTGCACTAACAAAGAATTTAAAACATTTGCCCTCATACCCAGTTTAAAAAGAGAAGTCTATTAGCTATACTCTGTGTTCACTATCGTTGCTTACCAATGCAGGCTATACAGAATATTCTCTTTCAGGACAGAATTCAAGGAGGACCTGGAGGACAGAATCAGGAGGGCTGAGCTGTTGGATTCACTGCTAAAAGGTGTCACCTGAGCCAAGTCACTAGTCACACATGTGTGTGTCCTTCCAGAGCAGGAAATGCAGCAGGGTCACCTTCATTTCTGGGGGCAGAATGATCACGTGTGGTCCATATTGGCACTGGGTCACTTGGTTGAACGAGTGACACTGCACGAGTGAAATGTGTGGGACTGCCTTTTCTCATCGCCGGAATGAGGGTATTATGTCAGTTTTTACCTCAACTAGGTTGGGATGGTAATAGTCAAGGATGTGCCAGGCGCTGTGCTCAGCCCTGTTCTTTAGTTTGTAAGAGAGCTCTATGGGAAGGCCTCATTAGTGCTCCCATTTTAGATGGGGAAGCTGAAGCCCAAAAAGCTTAGACCATTTGCTCCAGATCATAAAGTCAACACATGGGAAAGCCAGGAATTGAGGCCAGGAAGTTAAACACTAGAGGCCATGGTCTTAATAACTAGATGAGGTGGCCTGTGCCTGGCATTCTTGAAATGGCAATGCGTGTTGTACAACAAAAGACTTCATGGTCAAATAAATGTGAGAAAAGCTATAAATGTGAGAAAAGCTGCGTGCTGTACCCCTTAGAGCCACGATTCACATTAGTGTAATTAAGACTTGGAAACCCCCTTTAGGAAAGCAGCTTAGCTCTGCATAATAGTGTTTTCCAAACTTATTGGGCCACAGAATCCATTTACAGGATCCCTGTGAAACATGTTGGAAGCTATTAGTGTTCTACTGGAACAAAGCTTGGAAAATTCTAGATTAGATCACCTTTTTAAAGTCCCACATAACTCTCAAGTTCCTAGGCCTCTTTTCATTCCTGGTAAGCAACCTTGGCAAAATATTAAGCAACCAGGCAGAAGGGTTCAGGCTCAGTGCACTTTGCCATAGAGATCACTGTTGGATATATGATAGGGCATTTATTACACATAATCCTTGTGCTAGTGTCTCTTTGATAGTAGCCCAAAGCTAGCCAACAACTTTTGCCATACTGAAAACCTGATGTACCAAGTTACTTGAGCTGAGATAAGTCAGCTAGCAAAAGGACTGTGGGATAACATTCTTCTCCTTTAGATTAGAGTAGAATTAAAAAAAAAAATAGATTAGAGTAGAATTTTAGGAGAAAAAAAAATTTGAAAACAGCCAAGGTTTTGCTTTGTGCTTTCTTGTTTGGTTGGTTGGTTTCCAATCACACTTCAAAGTGAAAGGTGATACAGGTCACAGTGTCTCTACAGTTGGCCTGTGGGAGGCCACTGTTCTGGAGGCATTGAGAAAATAAGGATCCAAGACCTCAGGTGTCTCCTCTGCAGATATAGGGTATCTGGAAAGTTATAACCACACTCTTCCTTCATTTAAGCCAGATGTCTTAGAATGAGGACCTTTTTATTTACCTGGCCTCACCCTTTCCTGCCCTTTTGCTATGGGCTCTCTTGAGACAGACTGTCCCCTGGGCTTTTGCTTAGGACTTCATGTGCTGCAGAGTGTGCCCCGTGGGGCTCTGAAGACACGGGAAAGGGCTAGTGCCTTAAAGAACCTCAGAGAGGAACACTTTGCTAAGCCCCTCCCCTTTATTCTCATGGTGACCCTGAGATCACTGGTCACGCCTTCACTACTGGAAGGTAGTGCCGGCTGGCCATGCTCTTAATAGATGGAGAGATTAAAGCTCAGGGTGTGTTTAACTTCCATTTACAAGGCTCATCTTCCTCCTAGAACACTTCTGTTTATATCTGGCAAGAAAGAGGAAATCAACCTGTTTAAATTTATGGTGTCCTCTCCCTGGGCTACCTCATCTTCAGAAATGTGTGAGTTACTAATCCCATGCCTCTTTTTAAATCCCTCCACTTTTTATTTTGATCTTGGGAGAGTGGCTGACTCTAGGTAAAGTTTACACAGAAAGAAAACAACATAAAACGTAGTCTGTATATCACAAACAACATAATGTACAACACCTAAGGCAAGACATCTAGAGCATCAGAGGGACATCGTCTGGTGACCGGAAGTTCATCATTCTGGTGGAAGAGAGTGAGAAATTCCCACAATAACAAGGATCTGGCATCCTTGGATAAAACGCAGGTGCTCACAGCAACACACTCAAACACCCTACAGTGGCTATCCAACACTTCACTGGTAAGGTGTGCGGCATGACCCGATTTACTCTTTATGCAGAGGAAAGAGCACCAAGTTGAAGCACAACCAAAGAGAAGTAACTTCATTTTGGAGATCATTTTCATGTTAAAGAGCCAATTTCTAACATCTAATATTTAACCAGACAATATCCCTGTGAAGGAAATACACAAGGTATAATGGTGATGCGTAGTCGTTTTGGTAAAGATCATCGGGACAGGAAAGGACCAAGGGCGGAAATAAGTAACAAAATGGTTATTCTCGAAAGTCTGACAAATAAGCGCAAATGACAAATTCACCATTAGAAAGGACATAACCAGCTTACAAAGTAAGTCTTTGAATGGAGAGTTTTAATAATACAAACACAAGCTTTTCAAACAGCCAAAAATAAAGCACATGCCCATCTTGATTAGCCTAGGTAGCGGCCACACTATTCTCTTCAACGGAATAAATTTTAATAAAAAGAAAAAAGTTACCTGAAATTAGGTAAGTATATTCTGTCAAATAGTCAGATGTCATCTAATTTTATGACACAAAGAGATTTTGAGGTGTTATATTTTCATTGAACATTGTTGCAAAAAGCGGAGAACAGTCTCCTCAGTTTAATCATGTTTTTTCCCTTCCATGTGCCTATTAGAAGTCCATTTTCTGCTCCATATTTATTGATTATTTTGTTTCTCAAAGATGTGGCAAAGACATTTCAATAGCTTGATGAACCACACGTGCACACAGGTTAATGCTACAGCTGACTACTGTTAATACAACATATAGCACGGACACAGCACAGGAAGGGCCACTTACCTTGGGACCACTTTGAAAGTCTGTGCTTTTCCCAACCATTCAAATGATGAGCTGCACTTCCTGATGCTAACCTACAACATCAGACTGGGATTGTGCTGTAAATGATCCATACAAGAGAAGCAGACAGAAAGGAAAGGTAACGTGCCGTTTAAAACTGGAAGCAGTCTCCGTAATCATCTTTCCGAAATGGAATAAGTGTCCCTACCTGAGGATCACTGTTTCCACTTCTTTACTTCCTGCCTGCGTTATGATTATGCACCCAAGGCCTTTTCCAGTTGCATTTGGAGCTCCGCCCCCTGGCATAGATGCTGTGTATTTCCCCTTGTCCATGGATGTTGGATCTTGGCCTTGCGTCTTGCTGTAGCCCGCCGAATGTGGGCAATGTGGCATTCTGAGTCCAGGCCTTAAGAGGCATTTTGTGGTTTTCCACCTGCTTTGTGTTTCTGCCATCACCATGTGACAAGCATGTGCTAGGGAGCCCAAATGAGACACACAGAGAAGACCCCAGACATAGTCCCACTGCCTGGAAGGAACCCAGATCACATCAAGTGAATGACTGCCAACCAACCCTTAAGACGATGGATAAGAACAATAAATATTTGCTACGAGCCACTGAGATTTGGGGTTTATTTATCAAAATAGCTGCCTAATGGATCATCATCTGTCCCCACCGGAAGCACTGGGTCTATTAAAAACTTGAAACCATTTCAGCTGAGAAGGCTTAATGACTACAATATATGTATTTTTGTAATACCTACTAAAAATAATTAGCTGATATATCAGGTTTTGGAAAATCAAGCAAAAACTCATCACATACCCATTTCCTCACTCATACTAAGATTCACACACAAACTGCATTTCATTAGAAAAATTAATCTTATTTAGCAGGCATAGTCTTTAATTATCTAAAGAATATCTATATATCTATATCTATGCACCTATTTATATAGATATAGATATATAGAGAGATATACATATATAGGTATATAGATATACACACATATAAAACATATGTATAAATCCATTTCCAAAGAGAAGTTTGCAAACACACCAAATAATCAGATCTGGACAGAAGTCCCCAAGGAACAAAATTACAGAGCCTTTCAGCTCTCCTCCTTCAATTTTCCTGTCACACTGAGCTCTCCCTTGACAGCAATGATGAAGTGCTTATGCTTCCAAAAGGAGAAGGGGGGGAAAAAACCTTAGCTTGAGACTCTCTTGAGTTTTTCCTCCTATGCTGTAGTTCCCAAGGCCATTCATCATATTGACTTAAAATAAATCCAAAGAGGTGAAATTTTCTCAACCATGAATATCAGAACTGATATGTAAAGGTAGACAGGTTGTCTTCTATTATGTTATTCAAACATCTACTTACAAGCAAGAGAGACAGCAATCTAGATGTGTAGCTAATGGAAAGTGACATTGTTAAGTACTTGTACTTAAGTACACCTTAAAAGAGGGTGTGTGCCTGTGTGTAATTATTCACATCTTTATCCAGGGAGACAGAGCTTTGGTAAAAGTAGCCTCATGGCTCGTAACTGTCAATTTCAGATCTACACTTGCCAATCCCCTTGCTGCATTTTCATTCCTTATGATGTTAAGTGATACAGTGTCACTAAGCAGATAAGAAACTGTAATTTGGAGAATGCACCTTACCTATCCACCCCAGCCTCTAACTCCTTGAGAGAAGTACATACACCAAGGGAGAATTTATGAGCAAGG